TGCTAAACTACTGTCAGTCTGTATGGGCAAGAGATGTACTCATATTGATCTTGAAATTCATTAACTGAAGGTAGGGTACCTGGAAAAAATTCAACTTCAACTTACGCTTACTATTTTCCTTTGAGAACTATGTAAGTTTCGTAAAAATGTAGAAAAGGAATTTTCAGAAATGAGTGACTTTGATGAGAAATGCTTCTGGTAAAAATTTTAGCCCACTATATCAAACTAGAGTGAAATCTCAGCCAATTTATGATCTTGCTGAGAATTGTTATAACTCCGCCATTCCAAAAGCTAGGAATTTTGGTGTAGTTTGAAATTAAAGGAAATACTTGCAGGCATTTTTTTATCTAACAGAATTCAGAAACTCGCTTCTGGTCATTATTTATGATTATTATAGTACATACAGTACTAATATAAGCAAAAATACCACTTCACAATACTAGATCTTGCTTTTCTCAACACAGAAATCAACTATAAAAAATCTGGTAGGTCAAAAGTTTACTCTCATTTAGACTTTCAAAACAAAAAAAAATCTGAGTGGTATAGTCAATGTGTGTGTATGTAGGGAGAATAGGGGCCGTCAGATACCCGATGGAGTGTTTTGCCAATCCTTTATAACATGTAGAAGTTACAGAGAAGTTGGAGAACCACAAAGTGCCATATTCGTGGAGGATCTGGGTGGACTTTCTTTCACTTACACCACATGAATGTTATTCAATAGATGACTCTTTAAAAGACGGAATGAGGCCGCTTGTAAAATACGGACGGTAGAAAACGAATTTTCAAGTAAAAACTTTCATACTTTATTTTATAATGATTTCCAAAAACGAGTGACACAATAAATGGCATTATTCCATTCAATATATAAAGTCAATAAAGTGAGAGATAATATTTCTTATTCTACCTGGCAGTAATGTACATTTTTTATCGTCCGAAAAGCATGTGCTGTGCCAAAGAGACAGTATTTTCCTATTCGACATGACTAAACTAAAACATTAAAAAACACATTATTAGGTTTTTTATTGTTAATTCAAAAGAAAAAAAAGATCTTATTATATTGCCGATTCTCTCTTGTAATCTTCATTCTCAAATATTAAAACATAGGATCTATCATGAATCACAAGGAAAAGATTCTTCATTTTCAACATTTTCTTTTACGAATTTTTTTTTCGACTTCTTCGTTTCAAGTCTTTTTGTCAATTTCGATGTTATCGTTTTCGACATTTTCCAGCAAGACTCTAAAATTCATAGAAATTGATGATTTTCCATGGAAACTTGCGACTTCTCTCATCGCATCGTCCATTATGGTTTTAATTAGTCTGTACATGTTTCTTATTCTCTTTGTTCTATTTTAACTAAAAACCTTTCAACAACGATATTGCTCGTGTAAAGAACCGAAAAACAATTTTTTATCGTTCTACATTTGATTTTTCGTTTTCTTTGTCTTCCGTTCTTCTACTTGTTGCTGCCTTTTGTTCGTGACATTGAGCCCAAAGAAGTCTGCAGATGTCAGAGTGGTTGAATGCATGTGGGCACCGTTTAAGGGACCCCTCGATGATGATATGATTGAACTTGCAGTACAATTCTATTTATAGCATGGGGCATTGCTCGTATGTTTTCGAATACAAAAGATGTACGAGTGGATCATATAGTATGAATGTCTGTTTCCTGTCACTACACACCCACCGAATGCCATTAATCGCAAAAAATATCTCATACCTTCGAAATGTCTATCAAGTGGAAAGTAAAAAATTCAATTCATTTCTTGATGACACTTATGATGTCATTGTGAAGTTTTGACTTTCGTATGATTATTTTCAATATTAAAATAAAGAATATTTTTTTATTACAATGTATGAAAAAATTCAAAAATGATGACGAATGATAAATTTTTGAGAGATACATTAATCTTATTCAAAAAATTTTTCATTTCTTTTAACGAATCATAGTTACCAAGTGATTCTTTAGTTGATATGCATTCTCTAAAAAGAAGACAAAATGATGTATTTTTGCTCTCATTTCATTCAATTATCAAAAAATAAATAATTACAAAAACTAAGGAGCATTTTTTGGGTCATAATTATCATTTATCAAACGAAAAATAACTAAAATATATTAGTATTTGAAATGGATATTTTATAGACATGTTAGATGTAAAAGCCCCATTTGTGCCAACTAGAGCTGCCAACAAATCACTTTTTCTCAGGTCGAACAATGTCATGAAGTTTTCGAATCTGTTAAATCTAAAACTTTACAAAATAGCAAACAGACATATATCATCATAAATGTCTTCCCCATAAAAAATATTTGATTTATCGAAATGTTTTGTATTATATTAATACTGTCACATGTAGTCGGAAAAAAGTGGTATTATGATAGCAAAAACCAATATATGATCAAGTATACAACGGCTTTGACCTACAGTTTATTCCAATAGTACATAGGCGCATTAGACCAGATTGAAATATCACAATTGAGCTTTACATAGTGGCCTACAGACTAGGCTGACAAATCTAGTAACAACATAAAATTCAATCTGAAACACTAAATAGAAAAATACAACAACATAATAATTTCCGAATGGATATCATTGATATTGAACCTCAGTTTCAGGCACACAGTTTCAACTGACGCTTTCAACAGGTTAATATATGATTCATTGCATTATGTATTACTCCATTTTGAGTTTTCTACACTCAGACCTTATTTCTAATGAACTAATTTGAAAATATTATTTTCTAGTATAAATTTCCTATCGTTCATACAGAACTGAAAAATGACTCGAACGTTTTGAATGAATAAAGCTCTACAGCATATATTTCTCTTAATACTTAGTGAAATATTGGAAAAATTTTGCCCCTGAGCAAGGGCGTAAAATATAATAAAATATACTATTGAAAAATTGTTTAGGTCTACTTTCAGTATTTTTATACTAATCGTACCAAAAAGTTGCAATTCGCTCATATGATAAAATGATAAACAACTCATTTTTCGAGATAATTCAATTATTAGAGTATATTTTATCATAATAGAATGTCTTCTATACAAGATGTCACAATAAGACCATTTAACAAGAATATAACAAAAAGATGATATCAAATTTTAGGAAAAAAGAAATAGGTGAAATGACATTTTCTTACTGATTTGCTTTTCTGACAAATTCACTTCTAATGAAAATTCATAAGAAAGTCAAACTTCAGACATGAGTGGCATCTATTAAAATAAAGAATATATTTATATATTCAAAATAAAATTATTTCATGCATGTAGATAGAGGAAGGCAAATTCTGATTAGATAAAAGACATTCTAATGAATCTGTTATTCAAAAACTATAGATTTCTAATGTTTTACTTTTACTTTTGTTTTTCTTATATGCATATTTCTCGATGTTGTATTGGAAGAAAATATTTCTTTATCTTATCTACTCAAAGCGACTAATCAAAAATCTAATTGGTAGACAAAAAAATCCCTAGCATGAAAAAATTCCCAGTGATCCACTTCGTTTTTCTTTATATTTTTTTGTCACATATAAGGGATTACTTTAGTACCGTAACCTTCAAAACTTCACTGCTCATGTTTAGATTGCGTCGAGATAGCGACTTTTTTGTACATTTTTCATTCACATGTCTGGTTTTTGAGAAAAAAAAACAATCATATTTTGGAATTTCAACCGGAAAGTTTGTAAACATGAAGATCTCGAGTAGACTTTCTCATATAACAAGTTTTATCAATTCTGACTGTCACAATGATTAGATATCAATTTCTCAATATATCTGCATTTTTAAATAGTATTTAAAGAAAAGCTTATGGTTTTTTTTTGAGAGATTAATATTCTGAAATTCTAACATCCAAAACTAATGAAACTTGATCTATGAGATAGTCTAATTGAAACCTTCTTGTCTTGAAAGTTTTGGATTGAAATTACGAACTATGAATTTTTTGCGAAATTGGGTGTTTGTAGCAATTCACATAAAACTTGCTATCTCTGCTTTAGAGATCTCTTATATAAAGGCACAATATGCAGGCAAGCGGAGTAGATCACTCGAAAATAGGGGTATCAGTATTTGTGCTCCTAGGTATGGAATCAGAAACTGTCATCCTAAGTTTTAGATTCGAAAATCTGAACTAGAATTTGGACGTCGAGAGCTAGTGCATTTGAAGGAGCATAACCTAAAACCTCTTATCCCTAATATTTAAACCAATAGAATGCACTGGAAGAAAACGGTGATAGAATGAAATTGTGTGACTCAGTGCTTGCGATGTTTCAAACAAAATCTTTAATTGCATTTTCCGAGACTCTCGACCGCAAAATTTGAGTCCACATTTTCGATTCTCTGGAAAACCAGGAATTTTTGGGTTAAAAAATTAAATATTTGCAAAAATTTGTTCTTGGATATCTTGTGTCTTTGTTGAGACAAATTTCCTATCATACAAATGAACTTCTTATACATATTGTTGATGATATGAACTTGTAGCGATATTCGCATGAAGAAAAACAATTCTTTCTCTTCAGTTATTTTCCATTTGTACGTTCGTTCATGACAACACGAAAACAAAATATTTTTTTTGCTTTTATCTAATATACACTTTTTCACGCATTATTGTAATATTTATTAATATTTGTTGTGTCACATTCTATCAGTTGTGCGTGTTTGATATGTGTTTCTTTACAGTATGGTTATATATAGATGAAAAATTGTTTCAGTATATCAGCAAAGATAATTTTTGTCATAATGAAATAAATTAGTCATTGAAAAGAGAACATTGATAATAAAACTATGAGAATAGAAGGACATTTATACATCGATAAGAATAAAAACTAACTTGTCACATGCCGCCAATACAAGAATACTGAATACATACTTTTTTTTTTCTTTTTTGTATCCTGTATTCAGATTAAAAGAAAACATCGAGAAGTTAGTGAATATTTTTCACATCATCATTGTTTATTGTGTATTAATTAATATTATACTGTGCGACAATATTATTATAATAATAAATGAATGATGAAATTCAAACATTTGTCGAGTTTTTACTCGATACTGAAACAACATCAGAAACATTATTTAGTGAAGCAATTACAGAAAAACAGGAATTATTTAATAATGTACGTAATGGTTCCATTTTTGAGAAAATAGTTGATCAAAAATTACGACAATGGAAAAGTTATTATCAAAAAGAGCAAAGTGCTATTGCTGATCGAATAGCTATTAATGCTGGCAATGAAACATCAGATGAAGGATCAGAAAATGAATCCGAACAAGAATTATCATCTGATAATGACGATGAAAACACATCGCAACTACAAATGCATAAACAAGACCAGGTTAATTATTTATATTGTATATTTTGATACACTCAAAAGGATAAGGGCCATTTTCAGTAGAATTTCATGAGAAGCCGTTTTAGTAATAAAATAATGTGATTTCTCAAGAATGCATGATTCACACATGGAAGTATTGCTCCAAATATGGATGAAAATCATTTAGCTATACATAACTATTTCTGTTCATTATTTTCTTAATACATCAAGAAATGAGAAAAAAAAAACGATGCAAGACTTTAATTGATTCGGAAAGATTTTTGAGAAGGCTATAAAATCAAATACTTATAGATATTTTAAGAAATGGTTATTGTTAAATAAGATGACTTGAACTTCATTGATACATCATCATTTTCTTCGTTCTGTCACATAATATTAGTGACACTATTTTATGGTATAGCTGTATAACATATAGAAGCTAATGCCATAACATAGTGCTTCATTTTCAGTGCTATAGAAAAATCATCAAAACTAATTCGATAGAATTTCTCATTATCATTCTTGTAGAGAATTTCACGACATATCTTTAAAAAAAAAAACTCAAGATTATACCATTGATAATACTAGATCATCTGTCATAGTTTCATATATCAATTGTGAGAAGAAATGATCCTGATGCGCCTATATTATTTACGTATCGATTTATATAGACATTTCAATCAATTAAACAATCTGACATTCTAATTGATCCAATTAGTCAATGTAATAGACTTCTTCAATTTTTATATTATTGCCAACAAAATCATATTCATTTAACTGATCTTTATTTTTGTACTCTTGATCATTGTGTTAAAAGTGAAAATGAAAAAATTGGTGGTATTGCTTTACAACAAATTGCTTTACATTTATCAGTTGATATTAATGATGAAAAAGAATGTCAACGTCTTATTAAATGTCTTCCATCAAATTTATCATCTCCTACTATACCTGAAATATATAAACCTATATTAAAAACAATTCAAACTCTTATTTCAAGAAATAAAACTAAACAAGACGTATCAACAGTTATGTCATCAAGTGATCTTGATATTCTTTATCCATATAAAGCTCGTTTTCTTGATTTACATCGTGAATTTCGTGATAGTACACATTATTTTATTGATGGTGATTCATTAATTCTATCTGTTGCTCATCATATTAATATTGATCTTCTTACATATTATGGTAATACTCTTCATGTAATTTTTATAATTGAACGTATTCTTCTTACACTTTTTAATCAAACACAACAATGTAATTATACATTATTATTTTTTGATTGTCATTATCAATTGTATCAAAATGAAAATTCTATATTGAGTCTTCTTCGTGCTTGTCTAATTAGTCATCTTTTTAAAAATTTAAACAAATATGGATCATCAAAAGTACGACAATTTTCATCATGGCTTGATAATGAATATGTAAAATTTACTAATGAAGAAAAACCACATTTTATATTCTATCATGATATGACAAGTTTTTATATATGCAAAAATTCTCTTTTATCAAAAGATACCTTAATAGAACTTCTCTATATTTATCGTTTATTTGGTAATTATCATCAATATTATCTTCAATGCAATTTATATCTAATGAATAAATTAATATTAACTGATACAATAGTTAAATGTTTTCGAGTTGAATTTATGACAAAATGTCCAATGAATTTACTAGGAAACAAAATTAGAATATTATCAACTTATCAAACACATACTATTTTAGACAAAAATAATTGGATTGAATTTGAAAAACAGATATATGAAATAACAAATCAAGATGACGTACGACTTTTTCTTTATATCAAAACAATAATGAATTGTATTGACGATAAAAACGTATGATAATAAATTATTCAAAAAAAAAAACATCATAATCGTTTTATTTAATTAGGATCAATCAAAGAAAGAAAATTTGTTCAAACTTCTCGGTCCATTACTTATTCTTCACATTGCTCTTCTTATTCGTTTATCATTAATTGATCGTCATCTACCATCAAACTTTGCTTCTATGACATTTAGTTCAATATTTTCTGACATAATTATTAAATTTCAACAACATCTTGCAGCATGTCTATCCTCATATTCTTCATCATTATCATATTCAAGAGTAGTTGATATGTTCGATGGACGTCTTTTTGCTTTTACTCTATATCAACTAAAACAATCATCATCAAAACTAAAGTTTGATTCAAATACAATGGATATTGTCAAACAATGTTTAACCTTATTGAAACTTTCAACAGATGAAAATATATTTTGTAATATAGTAGAAGAATTAATTCAATCAAAACATATTATATTTTCATCTTCAACACTTAACAACAAACAATCAATTTCAATTGAAAAACAAAAAATTACAAAAATATCAAATCCATTTATTGATATTTACTTAAAACCTATACTTTCATTACATAATCAATGGACATTTGATTTTGTCACTCCTGATGACAATTCTTTAGTTCGATATGATGGTATATTTGTTTTTTTTTTTCTCCAATATGTTAGATATTTCAATATACATATTTTGTATTTTCATAGGAAAATATCATTGGCATGTATACAAAGAGGTATATTTTATAATTATCAACTGATATTTTACAACTCATTCTTCTTTTTTAGGTTGGCGATGAGATAAGTCGTATACGAGATAATGATGAAAAATATAAAAATCCGAACAAATATCGTTATCGAACCAAGAATCTACAAAAATTGTAAGACTTAACATTATTAATGTGTGTCATACTATATTCTATTCGTCGAAACTTCGAAAAAGTTCTCCATCTAGAATTTATAAGTTTCGACAGTTTAATTTTGACATTTTAGTATTTAGTCAAAGTTAAGTTTATTAGAGTTTCGATTTGAATTAGTGACAAGGCATGTACCCAAACTCAATAGCAGAATTTCAATACTTAAAACTTATGGATTATGCAACCGAACAGAGAGAGAATGAGCCTATGAATCGTTTGGTTTAATAAGAGATTTAAAAAAAAACTCCAATCTCAAACTCATTAGGCTTTGAGTTTTTGATTGACTTTAGCACGTTTTCTAATAATGTTGTAGAAATTCCTCTTTTGACATTCTCCAGTGTAGAGAGCAGCGGGTCTGGGTCCGGGTCCATATGTGATTTACTTTCAGACCCGGTTTGTATTCAGCTAAAAATATAAATATTGAAGGGCTCAGGTCAACGTATAATATTTTCTATATTCTGTTTCCAAATTTCTTGGCTATTTTTCATATTGTATTTAACAAGTCATTTGACATACAAATAACAAATGA